TCCGATGGCCTCGGTAAAACTTTAGCAATAAAACTTAACAAAGTTTTATTCCATAGTTAGTAATTATGCAGGCACTTGAATTATTTTTTCCTCAATTTTTTAGCTTTAAGATTGTGTCAACATATATGTCTGATGGAAAGATTTGTGCATGGCCATTGGAGTACTAAGGTCTGATTCTAAGATTTGTATTCCATGGATTCATTTTTCAAACAGATATATTTAACCATTAAAAAAAATGTTATTTGTATTGTCATTGTTTTGACAAACTCTAACATAACTTACTCTTCTATTCCTTAATCTTACACTTTGTCAATCATCTTCCTGACACTAAATCATTAACATTTTGTAATACAAAATCCCATCAAGATATGAATAATGCAGTTAACAAAGTTTAATTCACATTTATTTATTCTATTAGAATCTTGACCTGAAGTTAAAATTGTTGAGACGGCTTATCAAGGACGGTTGCACCCTTGTTTCAAAGGAATGTGCATTCTAGATTTCGACTTTGAAAACGAGTGTATTCGCTAGATGATGTTGCAAAAAAGCATAAAAGAAGAAAGTACAAGTACATATTCACTTGTGCAAATAATGAGTGAGTATTTAAACTATTTACTGTTTAATATAATATTTCATTTTCTGCTTACTTTAATTTTATATTTATGATACTAATTTAATCAAACGTAAAACTTTTTCTTCAGGCCAAATTGTGCAATTTTTTGTTCAAATATATAGAATGCTTCATTTTTGGATATCCAATAAAATCAGTTTCTTCAGACATGATGACTATATACAGACGAAACATTGCGGTAGACAGTTGCTATAATGAATACTTTCTACATCTTCGTTGATCCTGCTATTAATGGATAACCATATTTGTTCAAAAAATTGCTGAAAATATTTGTTACACTCATTTGATTCTTACTAAAGAAAAACAGCTAAAGAGACTTCCATAGTACATTTACACACAGAAAGGTAACATATGACATCAGTTATCCTTCGTGCTCACATGTCAAATGTCTACCTTTGGAATAGCCTTATGAGCATATATATAATTAAGACTATTACAGTTTGTAAAAAAATTCATATTTCTTACAACACATGTAATTCACTTCTTTAATGTTTATATTTTTGGTGTTTGATTCGCTCTTTGTGTTATGGGTGGAAGCCTTAACATCTCGCTTGAAGTCTCAAAAGATTTACTTACATGATAACTATGGTGAGTATCTAATGACTTAATTGCTTTATTAAAAGCATGCTTAGCTAAAGTTTATAGAGCTTTTTGTGCTAAATAAGTTTAGATATGCTATTTTTTCTAACTTATCGTTCAAAAAGTTGATAATTTACTTATAACTAAACTTTTTAAGTTTAACAAAAGAAGTTGTTAACAACTTTTTATTAACAACAGCTTTCAAAACCGTTCATTTTATTTATGCTTTACATGTTTGTTGTTTAAATTCTAATTTAGTTATAAATTGATATTCTTACTTTGTAACCATATGACCATCAATCACATGGGTTTTCTCATTCTAAAAAAGGAGTGATTTTTAGTTATAGGCTAAAATTGCTGCTTAATCTGCTGAATTATATTTAAGCGCAGAAAGCTGATTTTGTAGATACCAAAAAAGTGGAACATAGTCTGAAATATTCGATGAATTTGCTAAATATGTACTTTCTTCTGAGGTTTTCCTTTTTATTTTAATAATGTGCATAGTTTCTAATCTGATCAACTTATATGAGTTGAAAATTCATTTGATAAGGTGCATACAGAGTTGGCTATTGTGGCAAAAACTAAACTGACTGAGGCGTAAAATGTGATGAAGAATGCTAACAGGTGTGTTAATTATTTTTCCTAATGCGCTAAAGCTTATTTCTCGTAAAATTTTTTGGCTCATTCCATATTGCGTGTTCTTCTTTTGCTTAATTTTCTAATATTTAACCGTATAATTTTTCATCTTTAATACTATTTTATTCCTTTTTTCACGTACTTATGTTGGGGAATTGGATTTTACTGAGATCGTTATTTCTCTTTTATTTCAATATTGTTTGGTATTTTTCAACTTTTGAAATAATCACCTTGTTAGATAGAGTACTAACGAAGCTATTATATGCTCCCAAGACTTCTGAATAATCAAATAAATCTTAAACTACATTTTTTTTAATATCTACAATTTCTACACTAATAAAAACACAACAAATACAAAATTGGTGCAACGCACGTGTCAACGACTAGTTATAAAGAAAGCATTCAGTTAGAGTAGACAATGTTTGATGAGTCTTGCATTCAGGTCTTTAACCGACCAAACATGTCATGTATGTCTCAGACCTTTCAAAATCATGCAAGCAATAGCATGATGTGATCCCCACTTGGTGGAAAACATACGTGACATTAAATCATCACATGAAAGTCACTTGATGCTTCGTAAAAGGAATAAAAGCACAACACTAAGAAAAGTAGAGAACAATTAATTGCACAAGGTTGATGGATTCGAAATGGCAGGAAGAAGCTAGAAACCGGGGCCGATTATATGATTGGGTGTGCAAGCGATCAAAGCATTAAACATTAGACGATGAGTATGTGATTTCGAGAGATTGCGGATCTGCATGTTACATTTAGTAGGTTTGACTTTCGAGAGACTTTAATATCACAGTTACGAGACATTCGTTTTCAATCCTTCGGAATGAAAGTTGTTAACGTCACAAGTTTATGCTTCTCAGTTTACTATCCTACTTGCATTTGTCACATTTGGTTTGCTTAGCAAAACTTTCGAGGAATTTTGAAAAATGTGATTTTTTACGTTGAAATAAGTGACAAAATGGACATCGGTTAATTGTATGGGACGAAGAAAATAAGAAATAAAAACTACAAGACAATGTGTGAGGAAGGGACGGAGTCGGGGTGACGTGATGAGGCTAAACTAGAGAGCACGATTAGAGCGAGTTATAAGGTATTAGACGACGAAGATGCAAATTTGTTTCCGAATGCAAGTGAGAGCTTTGAAAGCTGCTGCTGCTGCACAGAACACGTCCGGTTTTTGCTTACAAATAGAACATCCATGTCAATTTTATATTGAAAAAAATAAACCACCCACCTCCTGCATGTGTGTTGTCTGTATTGTTTCTGTAATTATATTTCTGTACGTGTAGAACTTCTCCCAAAATTAATGGGACCAGACATTTTCACGTACTCCGCAAGATGATTAACACGATTTATTTATTTGTCGAGAATCATTTAATTTTGAATGAAATGTTTTGATTCAAAGTCACGCATTTGGAATTTTAAATAAATGAGAATTTGATTGTATTGTTAACTCTGTCCCATATAGCCTTGAAAAAATTATTTGATTTATATTGTGGGAATTCACTTGAAGCCATTTTTGGCGAAAATCTTTCTGCGTTGGTGGCAACGTTTCGTAGGCAATTTTTCAGAGGATTCCTTATGAGCCTCTTAGAATTAATGTCGTCATCCTTGTGGTTTTCGCTTAGAACTTTCGTTCTGGCCTCTAATGCTTGTATTTCGACTGGATTTATCTCAGGTTGACTCATTTTCGAACAATTTTTTTACGATAGCTTTTTTACTCAAGGATGGCCAAGATCATGGTTATTTTCGTTCAAGCTTTCCCACAAATGACATTAATTTGTTAACCTCAAAATTGAGATGAACAAATTCCTTTCGTGTAACCAGAATTTTCCCTTCTAAAACTTACTAAGAGTGTGTTTTGTAGAAATTTTTGGGGAAAGAATTGATTTTTGAATAATGATATGATGGGAAATGTGTGGTTGAAAAAGAAGAAAAAATTATTGATGTGATGGAAAATATCATTTTATTGAAAAATGTGTGGTTGAAAATGAAAATTGATTTACTGTAAAATTTGAGAATAATATGTGGTTGAAAAAGAAGAAAAAAATATTGATGTGATGGAAAATATTATTTTATTAAAGAATGTATGGTTGAAAATGAGAATTGATTTACTGTAGAAAATGAGAATTTGTACCAAACAGGCCCTAAATTTCTTACTCGGACAATGAGAGAAATAGCTATTTTAAAGGAACTGTTTCAATTTTTCACATCTTTTTTCGTTCCCAATTGTGCCTATTTATATATTATTGCTAAGGCTATGAGGGTAATTAAATATTTTCTTCTAATGACACATGAAGTCATTGATAAATGGACTTGAACAGAATCTGTTACATTTTATTCACCATGCCTCGTGTTCTTTTCCCATTTTATCGTAAAGTCATGTTTAAATGCTCATTGACAACGGTCCAAGTTCGCCCATGATATGATAATTTCTTACAAGTGGTCGTTGATAGAGACAAAAGTTCTCACATAGCAAAGTTGTCAAAATTCCCATCATTGATCTATGTAAAATTAATTGATAACAGATGGCATTACCATGATGGGGACGGAAGAATTGCTACGTATCTGCCAGACCGGTTTGGTCGGAAAAAAAAGAAACGTATTGCAATTTAGGTACTTAGGCATGCTTTACGTATTGAACTGAGCATAAACAAATAATTGACATATCAAATGCATCTCTTTCTCAATTATATCCAACTGAATTCAGAATACACAACATCCTAGGTATGTGTATTGAAGTCATTCTACATTCTAGTTAACCAAAAAATCAGTTGATAAGTCATCTTTGCTCACTTTTTCAATGAAAAAACGAAATTGAGAACATATTTGATCGAAAGAAGGGGGAATAATTGGATTTGTTGGGGGGTAGGGTGAGGGAGATACAAAGTTCAATTCAAGCAACTCTTTGTCTACTTTCTAATGATTCAAATCTTCTCAGACTGTCCATAACAATATCGAATATACAAAATAAATTAACAGCAATCACAAATGCCTATAGAACCACAAAATCAACTTTACAACACATAGCGCAGAGGTAGTTACATTCCAAACGCAACCTAACAAAGGCACTCTTGGAGTTCCTTAAAACGAAAATTTAAAAACTCCGTAGATTGCTCATATTCTACAGATTCTGCAGGTGTCATAATGTTCGAAGAAATCCACGAACTTCAATGAGGAAACTGTGTAAATTCTTCCGGAATCTCTGGAAATTTACGCGGTCAAGTGTCGTAGAAAGGTTGTTTGAATTTGTGAGAGACTGGAGAGCATTTGTTAGCCGTAATCGGAACATTTGGTTTGTCTGCCTTTCTATCAATTCATTCACTAAATTCTGCAACAACAATTCCACCTCAGGAAGACGAAGAAGACGGAAGGAAAGACGAAAATCAGCAGATAATATGTCAATCATCAACCAAGCATAATCCGGGTAAATTGTGTCATTCTAGCTGAGGTTTTGTATTTCTAAAACCAGTTCACCAAAATTATGGAAATCTATGCAAAATCCATCACGACTTGATTCCAATAATCTCTAGTAGAGCAGGAAGCGCATATATTTATTCATTAGCACAAGGTAGAAGAGAATGACAATTATGGCGTGTCTGGTAAGTGGATTACACTGAACAATATTAAGAAAGAAAATCAGCTAAAATCTTGTCCAAGGTAGTGTGAAGTGCGATCCAAACATGCAGTAAAAGTAATCCACAACAGCTGCATAATAATCCATATCAAGTAAATTGCACTTGTATGATCCAAAAACCCAAGTTGTTATTCTAGTTCTTTCAGTATCTTCACAACGATTAGAGAATAAGCTTACTGCATCTAACAAACAAAGATGCGAATCTGACTGTTCCTTGATTGTGCATGTTGAGGATATATGACAGCTAGAAGTGCTTAGGGGGTATATCTTAACTATTACTCAAAACCTTTTTGAAGCTAGTAAATTTAAAGAGTTACCAAATTTATAGATACTTAATCAAGGTGTATTGACAGTAGAGAAAACCAACAAACCTGATAAACATTTTGTTCACACAGTATCAACGGGAAAAGTGCATCTGCTGCAGAACTTACGAGATCCGTGCTGAAACCACAAGGAAATACAACCATCATAATGTGTTTACTGACATCAAAACAACCAGAACAATAAGGTCATTAAATGTAAACAATATCATATTTGCATAGTTGAAGAGAGGACCCGTATTAAAGTAGTAAAAATCTTGTGTTATAATGTCCAGTAATACAGAGTATTGCATACAAAAAACATTCAATACATTTCGTATGAACGAATAGCTTATTTAAATAATACTTACCTGTAGTCCTCAAAAAGAAGAAGTTGCAGCAATGAACAAAGGAACCGACTCAGTACGCCTTCTTGAACTTTTCCACCAGGATCCTTAGAAATGGTAGCATGTGAACCTAAACCAACTTTACCCATTCCTTTTTCCTTGTAATGGTAGGACGCAAGTGCTTTCAGAGCCCTTAGACACAAGTCAACAACTTCACCATCCTAATCAAGGAAAAGAAATATGGTGAAGGAAACCAGCTTGGTAACATTTAGCAGTGGAATTCTAATGGCACAAAAATTTTTGTGTTTTCGAAATTAACAGGATGAACCGATCCTTCTGGGAATAAACTCTAGTATTTAACTACAGACTCGTACATCCAGCACCAGAATTTACCTGATGATGAAGCCCAAAATCAAGAGTTTCTGCTATATGACCAAAGGCTTCAACGTTTAGTTGAGCGACTACTTCAGGGTAAATCTCCAGCATGTGTGATAGTAGTGAGAAATACTGTCCAAGGAAAAATATTAGTTCCCCATAATGCTCTGAAGTTTTCTCCTCTATAAATCACACACCAAAAAAGAGAGAAAATTCTATACACTGTGACAAAGTTTGGGATATTTCAGCAGCTCCAAAGTAATTAGAGGGGTTACTATGTGAAGACCCATAAATACAACCTGTATAAGGAATGTATCAGGAAATTTAGGAATAAACTGTGGGAAACATGCAAGACAAACACTGCTCATCAGATGGGAGTGCCACAAGAGTGTACCTGAGAAATGCTCACACCATAAGCCTCAAGGGATTCAGATGCAAAGTCAACCTGTACATTTTCATTTTAATCATGAAAGCTTCATATCATATGTAATTCAAAGACAGCCAAAAAATTAAATCCATTAACAGGACAAGAATCTGCAAAAAAAATGCAACTAGACACTTGATCTTGAACATGATCCATAGCCAAAAAAGGCACAGATTGCCTCTGTTAACTTGTCAATAGTTTGAGGAGCACTCGTTCTTGTCTCTCATGTTATCCCATGATAATAGGTCAAATGTTATCTTGAATTTGTCCTCTTTCTTGTATTTCTTTTGTAAAGTGGACTCTTCAACTTGCGGATCGCTTAGTTTGAGATTCTAGGTAAATCCTTTTAAATTGTTTCCTTTCTCTTGACCTGTGAGATCAAATAAAATTAGGGAGCTTTCATTCACAGCCCAGAAATCTCTCCCAACAACCATGTTCTTCCTTCACCCACTACCGAATTTAAAACAAAATTTCTGTCTAGGCCAACTCCACCCCACCACCTCTCAACAGCGCCATTCTCATCTCTGTTCTTCTTCGGCCTAAGGTCTATCAAAACATAAAGAAGAATCTAAGAGCCTTCTATTATGTTTAATCTTGCTGAAATTAGAAACAACTGTACTATAACCTCATACATGAGAAGATTTGAGAAATGATAACACAGAAGAGCTCCGTATTTATAGATGCTTTTTTCTCTAAAAAGTGGAAAAAATAAGCAATCGCTTGTATGTATCAATGCAGATAAAGTTAAATTTTGACTCATGAAAAAAATAAATTGTACTTGAGAATAAAAATCAAACATAATTTTCTACACAAACAAAATAATGTTTTAGTGTTTTCTTAGAAAAAAATAGGGGCATCATGGGAGATATAAAAATATCTTTTTTCTAGAATCTTCAACAACAAAGCTTCAATGAAGATAAAAGTTAGATGGTCGAATAAAAGATTGCAATGGAGAAAGCCCTCTTGCTCTTGAAATAGGCAAGTAATAGATTTTGAGCAGCAGTGGGACCTGGATGTACTTGATATTAAAACACGACATTCATAAAAACTTGAAATGAAAATGTTGCACACTATCACAAATGGTTCCTGCTTCTTTGAATTCATTTGAATGGTTGTCTCATAATAGTTCCCAGTCTTCCAAGAGAAGAGTTATCCTAGGTTCCGCTATTCACATTCCATACATGCCACTGAATATTACAAACGTGATAAATCCAGTGCCCTTGGGAGAAAAGAATTTTCTTAATGGTGATATGAATGAGGAAAAGAGTTACCAGATCCTTCGAACACAGATTTGCAAGAAGTTGTAGAAGGGCCCGTAAATCCTTATATCTCTCTGTATCTGCTTCACTAAGTAAGCTGTTTGAGAGGCTAACTGATATCTGAAAGTCGAAATATAACTCATGTCACATGAGCAAAACAAATAAAGGCTAGTGAAATCACAAGTGTCAACTTTCTACTTGATTATTAATAATTCATTTACAAACAGTGATCAAGATTACTTAAATAAATAGTCATGCCACTGTACCACAATAATCCAAAATATGTGCACTCCAATTTGGTCAGAAGAGTATCAATTGTATTCCATCTTTTACTGTCCATACATTGCTCAATTGCATGTTTAGCGACAGCATCCTTATCCTTAAACGTTGACATGGCTAGTCCCTCCAACCATTTGTTAAGATAATACGTTGACTAAGCCACCTCCTTGTAGCCATGCCCTTATTGGTACTTAGTTCACCACCAGAACATGAATATTATGTGTGGGTTAGTGTAGATTATAATTTTATAACTGGGTTTAGTTTAAACACATTTTAAATGTAATATTTTCTTAAACCATATTTGAATTTATAATTTAGACCAGGTATTTAAAATCCAGTCTCTAGATGATACAAAAATTGGATAACATTGAAAAGGATTTCTAGACACTTCATGTTTGGAAAGGCTTGACATCCATCATTAAGAATTACAAAATGCAGGATGGATTTGACTGCGATTTCAACTCTGTAAGAAGCCAAGAATTCATAACTATTGAAACAAGTTTAATATTCATGGGTTCTAAATCTTCAATAAAATGGATCCCTGGAATAATTTGCTTTTAATATCTTGTTTTCAGAAGTACTCACACAAATGGCAGTATATGTACATCTGCACTCTGATGAACTGTTTTCTATAAAACTTTAGATTGAAGTTGGTATTGCTCCAACTATTGCACCTATCCAAGACAGATCACTCTAAAAGGGAAGATTCTAGGCATCTTTTAAGGAACCAGAGAAAGGAACTCAATTCTACCCAAAGGAAAAATCAAGTCAATGAATAAGAAATACAGTGAGTTATTAATATGCAAGACTTCGAACTATTTTTTATGAGAACCATCATTCAACATTAGCAGTATGCACTGCATGACACTGCCATCAACACCGTGGTAAAACTTGGTCTATGCTTAGTGCTTTCTTTCTTCTGCCATTGTTAGTCTTATTTGTAAATTGAACTGTAGAGGAAATATGGGGATATTAATAAAGGCAATGAGATGATTCCTAAAGTTCAAATCCCTACAAGACAAATCTGAAGGATTAAATGGTGGGAAGGAATTAAGAGAGATGAAAATAATTTGTAGTAGTTAAAATTTCAATTTATAACCTCCTTAATATATTTTCATATGGTTCTGCACTTATGTAGAGCCCATGGATTAGAGATTAGCTGTGGACTGTCATCCTTGTCATGCTTCATTGAAGATGGATTTGCAATCCTATGTTTTTTGATATAGTCACAGTTACGTGTATAGGAAACTGATCTAACACATGATTCACACTAAATTTCATTTATGATTAAAAATAGCTTAAGTGCATCCACTGTTTACACTATTAGCCTATTGGAAGCCTTACTGGGCATTCTTACCAGCAACCTTATTAAGAAGTCCCAGTACATATCCATTCAAAGAGGGTGTTAGACATCTATCATAACAGTTTTTGGATGGATAACATTTTCAATGACATTCTAGAGGAAGAAATTTTATTCTTCAAACAATTTCCAGAGAGTACACTGTTGCTGTTCGTTTTGCAGCCCAATATAAGTTTCATTTTGCTCCATCTGTAGCAAACTAACAAAAAGTAGGTTCAAACAATTCAAAGAGGTTTTTTACTGAACAAATATATCTCGTACACTCTTTAGCAGTTGTATATTTATTGAATTGTAACGTTTCTACTTCCATTCTTCTTCTAGCCAAATTGTTTAGATTACAAAAGAATTAACATCGGGCCAAAAAGAATACCTTGCCGATATTGTGAGATGAGTATAGCTGAAGCAGACGTGTACAAAAGTCAACAGCAGCAGCAGTTTCACGGGCCTCTAAGTAGATTATTTGGCCATCGACCCAATCGACAACAAATTTGAGTAGAAGATAGACAACTACTGACTAATATAGGCAAAAATAAAACACATTAAAAATAAATCCAATGGTGTTCAATTATTTTCACCAAAAAAATTAAATACACAAGCAACAATCAAGATAAGCATAAAATTTAGAAACAATAAAAAAAGTGTTCAACATATCCACAAATTATTAAGCAGAAATTTAACGACAATAAATTAAATCATAATAACCTGTCAAAGGACAGGAGAAATGCATCAAATTTTTAACAGGCAGAAAACCATAAATAAGAGTATTCAATGTGTTTATTATACATGTTTTTACAGTAGATAATTCTTCACATACACAGTACATTTTAGTTGATTTTTAAATCAAGAGTTAAGTTTTGCTTAAATAGCAGAGAATTTTCATATATAATGCAGCTTAAATTGTAATTTTTACATGAGACCTAGTGTAAAAATATGGAAAATAATTGGCCGTATTTTGCTCAAAAGCACTAATTTTGTTAGATTAACAGGATTTTAATCATCTTGGTAAATAAGCCTGTCAGTTTTCTCTAGTTGAAATTTCTTGATTAGACAATTGCATGTTTTCCCCAACTTTTTTTTGCCTCTACTTCTACTGCAACAATTTTCATCAATCCCATAAACTTGTTTTTGTTAAACCTGGTCGAGATGCCAAGAACATTCACTGAATTTATTTCCACCTGGATTCCTGCAATTTCAAAGCCATTGTTTCCTACTTTCACCAGTGTAAAAAATATGCACATTAGTGTCTGTGACTCTTCTTAGGCTTGATTCTTGGCTCTCTTGCTTGCAAACATCACTTCCAGTAGTAGTATTAAGAACCATTACCTACCAGGCTGCCACACTGCCAAAAGTTGTAGTCATTAAAAATGGTTTCAACTCAAAAAAGTTCTATTCTTCGCAGCAATCCAAGTGCCACGTCTTGATAGAAACTCGGTGAATAATTCCGGCAGCACCATGAGGGCATTGCCGTATTCACACAAACTATTTCCTGCCAAACAATTGGCCCCACTGGAAACCGTAGTAATAGCATTAACTTAGACACCAATTGTAGGACCAAGAACATGCCATTGTGCCAGATTCTATAGTCATCAACAACAATGTTACTGGAATCCTTCGGTAATTTGTAAAGCTTAACAGCAGATATAGCACCTTATTGAAATTGTCACAAGCCCATACCTTGGCCTTGGCAATAAGGAAAATTGTTGCAATAAGCAAGCCACCAACTACTAAAGGTTACCACTTAGATATCAAGCAAGCATTGAATGGCTTCAAAATTGAACCGTTAGATACTTTAATGAGATAAGGCTTAATTATGAGACATCTCATGAAACACAAGTTTAGACATTATTGAAATCTCAAAAAACTTTTAGCCAAAAATTAATCATAGGAAAGAATTTTAGAAAAACTTTATACCATGCTTCCGAAGTGAATAGCTGTAAAAAGAGAGAAGTCTATTCTTAGTTCAGTACCTCATGTTTGTATGCCTCAATAAAAATCAAGATAGGATTCATCACAGTGAAACCCATTTCATAAATTGCCTTTTGAGTCCGAGGTTCTGAGGCACTGGCAACCCCACGAAGCCTCTCCAACAAGCAACTAACCTATGGCATGTCATGATATGATATTAACCATATTGTTTTAGACTATCTGCAGATTGAATGGATAATATTTAAACTGTCCTTACCAACAAAAGAATATCTGGCTGTTGAGCAATATGTTTGAGATCATTCTTGCATGACAGCTCCGCCAAATTAGCGGTCATATGGTTCGTCAAACTTTTTATATACCTATAAATAATTGTAAATCGTGATCAGGTAGTATTGCAATAAAAATATCTGCAGAATGAGATACAGGTGAAGAAGAAACCCAAATATATACTAACTGATTTGATGCCTCAGATGTTTTCATTCCAGAAGCTGAAAGAGCAAGTGTCTCAGCCAGTGAACGCTGAAACAGATGGAAGACAAAGTTACACTTTTCAATGAGAACATGAAAAGGTATCTGTATTATGTTAAATCACCTAATCTAAAAGCTCAAGCATTTAGAGGACTTTATTTATTTAAATTTTGTAACTGTTCCCTCACATACTCATTTTCATCACAAGATGCCTGATGCATTAACAGTTTTTGTAAATGGATGAGAGTGAGATTTGATTTTATTATGATTGCTTGCTTGATACGATGTTAAACCATCATATCTAAAAGATCCAGTTATTGAAGAGGAGATTATTTATTCATTTATATATGTAAGAAGAGTTTGACCGGGTGAGTGACTATGGGGTTCCCCTGGTTCCAAAGGCTAAAAGCACAGTAGTTGAACCAGTAGTGCTTGGTATAGATAGAAGAACCCTGAATGCACAAACATCCTCCAACAGTCAATTCATTTATATCTCCAACATTCCCCTCATCTGTAGACCATAATCATTTTTCATGACCTAACATGTTGAATTTTCAGGATTAGGTGGCGATAAGACGTGAACCTGGGGCCTCACCTCTCCATGCTCTGCTACCAGTTAAACCACATCTTCATAGGGTTTAAATTGTTAAGATAAGAATATATTTGTTTACACTCCATCTTCAACTCATTGTTTAGTGAAATGAAACAGGATCGAGTCAAGGAAGAGGAGGAAAAACAAAGAAAGATGCATACTTCGCTGCTACATGAACTCATGCAAATGTGCCAACAGTATAATGGATTTTTCTTTTTTTTATAGGTAATCACGTAATTTTATAAATAAAATTAAAAGATAATACACAAGGAGTGCATTATCAGTTTAAACAAGATAGAAACGATAAAAAATTCGACAACCATTCTATCGGATTAATGATTATAACCTTAAACCAACTATACAAAGTCAAATAAAACAATTCCCTAAATTGCTATGTCGTCCGTATTTGGCCTTCAAAGCATCTGCCGTTTCGTTCTCTCCACACACACCAAACGATGCATCCTGGAATGAGATCCCAAATAAGCTTGTTATTCTTATCTCGAAACTTTCTCTTCCATACCCACATCACCTCCTTGATACGCCTTGGCAATACACAACTCATATGTTGCGAAGTCAGAATATCATTCCACGTCCAACGAACACCATCACAATGAATGAACAAATGATCGATCGTCTCACCATCCCTCTTACACATATAGCACCACTCCGTAATACAATAGCCCTTTCTTCTAAGATTATCCGCCGTTAACACATGTCCCCTCACCACCGTCCACAGTAAAAAAGCCACCATTTGAGGTAATTTACTTTGTCAGGCCCTTTGCCAGGGGAATGAGCTCTCAACAGGTTCCAATAAGGTTCTGAAATAAGTACAAACAGAAAACAAACAATTCCGTGCCGCCCTCCACCTACTACAGTCTTCCTCTCCCACATGAATGTGCACATCATACAGAGAGGCCAAAAACAATGCATAGTCATCCAGTTCTCAATCATATAAGCCCCTCCCGAAAGCAATGTTCCAGCTAGGATTCCCATTAGATATAGCCATAGCATCACTCGCCATGGCTGAAGGCTCCAAGGCAATGCGATGTAAAAAAGGAAACAGCACTTTTAATATTTGATCTCCACACCAACAATCGTCCCAAAATCTGATATTTGTCCCGTTCCCCTCCACAAAAGCCAATCTATTCTGAAAATCGCTCCATAATTTCCTGATATACTTCCACAAGCTCATCCCATAATGGAAAATAACTACTATAATTAATGGATCTCTAAGTTTCTTCCATTTAAGAGTCAAATATAAGGATACATAAGTTAAGATGCACCTATTTTCTTCCTCTAACGTCAATGCCTTGTATGTAACTATGCAGTTACAGGTTTTAATGAACAAGGAAAGAGTAACATTGTTTTAATGGAATGAAAAATGGGTGCAAGTCAAGGAAGAAGACATAAAAACAGAGAAAAGGTGCATGCTTTGCCTCTAACAAAACCTTATGCAAATGGAAAATAGCTACTGTAACCTTTGGATGTTGTCCCTTGGTTTATTCTATGCATGAATCAAATATAGGAACACATAAGTTAGAGCACCTATTTTCTTCCTCTAATAGCTATTCCTTATATATACCATCACCAAAACAACATGATAAAATTAGAATAAATTACCTGGTGAGCAGCATTTAATGAGAACAAACCCCGTTCATTAGCAAAAACATTTGCCAAGTCACGCCATGAGTCCTACAAAATAAGTTATCAGAGGTGAAAAATTTCTAATAGAGTTCTGAAGTAATTATTAAGAATCAAAATACAGGAATTTCGTGATATGCTCAATGTAACAACTTTCGCTCAGTCAAAATTGCAGTAATACTTTTTCATATCAAGATTCACAAAAGCCTGTTGCCAATCATTAACTAACAATGTTATTTTGAAGTAAATAATGGATACAAAAGCTGAAAGTAATGCAGGTGTAAACTGCATAAAAATCATGGTTAAGTATGGTCTTAGACACGGCGAGATATGAAAATAAAGAGTAAGAGAAAAATCTTAATTTTGATAATTATCAGTTCTAGTGAAGGGAGGGTAAAGAACAAGCAGTAGAGGCAGGCAAGAGTACTGGACCAACTGGTCTGGTTCTGCTTCGGTTTTAATATATAGAACTGAAAACTTGGTCTACTTGAATAATTTTTTTGAATTATGCTACATGTACATAAACCCTGATCTACATAATGCTCAAGTGGCATTTCATCATTGGTGGGTGGAAATACAGTTTTTTCCACTAGCAAATGATAAAATGCCACTTGGGCATTATGTACACTAGGGTGTAAACCCTGATGTACATGTAGCAAAACCCTTTTTTTTTTATATAGTGGCTGGTGCAATGCACCGATCACATAGTATATAACACCCATTAAACTAAAGCATGTTCTGGCATCAGACTTAGCAGAACAAAGTGAACATGGCAAAAGAAAAGGAATGGTTCCAAATCATCCTCCTCCAGTTATTCTTAGGGGAAAAAACCCTAATTTTCTTATGCCACAGCCCATTGCTGCCCACGCCACTGTCCGACGAGCAAGAAATCTCTGTGACACAGTTCCTCTTTGAATATTGCTAAGGTAACTAATTTCTCTATTTGTTTTATGTTCCTTTAATACAATCCGCACAAATATCTTACCATTTTACGATTTGAGTATTGGGTTTTGACAAGGACTGACCGACCATTAAAGAGATTTAAGCATTTGAAAATCTGCCTCTCTCTTCAACCAGAATGTGGAGGATGAGATAAAAAAAATGCCATATCTTTTAAAATTATACAAGGTATCTATCTAGTGAATTACAATGTTCTAATTCTTCCGTTATAAGCTCCAAGATTTAATTAAGTAGTTTGTGCGGAAGCAGATTGAAATTCTTGAAATCAGAATCAATTTAGAGAACTTGAAGTCTGTAAAAATATTTGAATTGTATTGAAAGTGATGATTGAAAAGTGTACAAGCCTATGTATATATAGGCAAGTTAATTATCTAATCGGCAAATCATGGAGCTAGTGGCAGTAGTGATTACATCGACAAAGTCAGTGATAGAGAATTCTGATGATAAATGGAATGGCTTTAATATTTTTATTTTGGGTACGAGATGTTGAAAACTAGCCAAATGGAATTGTCCGGAAAAGATGAGATATAGATGCATAAAATGGAATCCCCAATGACTATGCTAATGCAAAATTCGATATTTTGAATTGGAGGAAGATCAATGGATAAATAATTGAAATTTTGTTTGAGGTTGCGATAACTGTGTTTTATATTCATGTATCTACAATTGCTTCAGAGTCAAATGGAGGGCACATTCTTGTTCAATTTATAAGCAAAATTGGTTAAGGGGAGCATCTAAACTTTTTAGAGTACCCCCAAGTTTGAGTTTGCATTGGAGAGATGGAGTTCTACAAGAAATGGATGGAATGTAAATTCACCATGTTTTATTGTTATTATTATTATTTTATTTTTTTTGGTTATTCATGTAAGCTGGTGAATGAATTTTATTATACAATATTTTGTATCAAGATGGGCCTTGCTGTTAGTGTTTATAAATTTGAAATATGTTTGTTTGTTCATTTGGTTAATGCTTAGTGGTTAAGCAGTGATGTTTGTTAATAGTAAATTTTAATCTTTCAATCTTGCAGTTAGTTTGAATTGTTCAGTTCACTTTTTAATGCTTATTTTAGATTTAAAAAATTGATTTGTTGCCTTTGAGATGTTTCATTAATTTAAATCAATTGCATTGGAGGTATTTATAGTTCATTTGCATCAATTGCATTGGAGATATTTGCATGAGTTAGACATCGGTTCCATCTCTATTATGGAACAGAACCAACCAAACTGGAACCAGTAGTTCCGTTACAGTTCAGTTCCATAATTAGATTATGGAACCAACGGTTCCATTTTAAGATACCTATTAGGACTCGGCTGGGTTCAGATCTCTTCGGAACCGGAGCAAATGAGACCATGGCCACACTTAACGAGCAACTACAAACTCCTAATCAAGTAAACATCCTCGAAACAACAAATTCTGCCTTCAATCCTTCAAATTGCCCCCACCACCCTGCAGGGGGACAAACCGCAAAGAAGAATATGTCTAACGGACTGTTAAGGCTTCTCTTCCAAGGGAAAATACCATCCTCCGGCCAAAAGTTCTTCTCAATCCAAACCAAATTATAGTAAAAAACATGGAACAAGAAAGTGATACCAAGGATGCAAAAGAATTCATGAAAATTTTTGCACGAAGAGAAATGCAACTGACCAAAGAAACGAGATGTGAGATAACATTCTTTCGTCGAACTAGTCCATGAAGTAACTGGTAACATGTAAGTCCCTGTCATAAAAAACAGAAGCTGACATTAACAGGTGTGTGTCCTTCACCTTCTTTCTACTATTGCATTACATATTTCCCAGCATTGAGGTGTAAACAAGTGTAGTCCATCAGATAAATAAATAGAGATTACATACCTGCAGGTCTTTCTCCCCTGGGTATGAAACAAGTGTAGTCAAGGAGATTCGAATAATAATATCAAGCACTAGTTTCCCCTGATTATACTCTCCAAAAAAACTAAGCAGTGCATTTTTGGAGTGTTCTAAACGAACTTGGGCATCATTATTATTTTCACCACTTTTATTTCCTTTATTTTCTTCAGGTGGCATCAGGTATGTTGAAGACCATCTTGCAAGGAACCATATAACTGCCTGACAGATTATCAGGTCATATACGTTAAACATGAAAGCAACCGTTATAAAATCTCTTTTGTCAAAGCATAAAAATAAACATAATAAATATAAAGAGTTTTTATTCCCAAATTCAGAACATGAAGGGCCATAACTACCTAGTTCCTTTCTCTTAATGCAGTAAGTACCAATATGGGGCATTTGACATTCCGACAAGAGTATGCGAACTTGCCTGATATATTGCCCTCATTACAAACATAAGCATTTTTTGCCATAAAAAGATGGCAACCAAAAATATTACTTGATCTTACCCGTAGATACACCCCATAGTTGAAGGCTTAAAATTTTACAATTCAATTTCAGATGCGTGCGCATATCAAATGCTCATATACGAGTTTGAAAAATGCAGCCACGAGCAATATTTTGATGAAAAGAAAAAATCCAGCATTTAAAATCTCAGGTTAGTTTCCGTATATGTATTGGTATATAATCCATCGTGAAGGGGTAACTTCACCAAGCCCAAACCCACCTCTTAGATCTTCAGTTTCTGCACTTCCCAGAAATCCATTCTTAAATTTCAGGTCTCTTTCTGTGTTCCCATCTTCATCCACGTTTTATGCTGAAGATTTCGATTATAAGACCCCTAATTTTGATCAGATTCAGAATTTGGAGGAGTACAAGGAAAATGAGGACACCGGAAAAATATCAGTGAAAGCTTTTTTCCTTTGCACCAGGTTTGTTTTTTCCACCATTTTTTGTTTATAAAAATTGGATATCAATTCTAGGTTCACTTCTATTTTAATTTGGGTCGTATAAAATATTGGGTGCGTGGCTGTGGTGGATGGTTCTTGTGGTGGCGGTTTTTGTGGTGGATGGTGGTTGTGGTGGTAGTTTTTGTGGTGGATGTGTAGGCGGTGATGGTGGTGGTTGCGGCGCCGACATCGATGTGGTGCAGGCGGCGTTTGTGATGGTTGGGGTGACGTTAAACTGAAAACACCCAAAATACGTTTTGAAAATTTTGGGTTGATTATAACTGAAAACAATTTGTCGTTTTGGGTTTTCTTTGTAAATTTTTAACTTGTTTTCAAAAACGCGTTCTTGAAAATAGGAAAGAGAACGCGTTTTCACTGTTTTAGAAAATCGAAAATAGAAAACGGCTTGAAAACGATAAAAAGAACATGCCCTTAACTTCTCTCCAGACTAATCAATCTGAAGAAGCATACTCCTATTAAACCATGTTCCAAGAGCTAAGTGGCACAACACATTCATTCAATGATGAATAATCTGCATTCCAGGGAATTTGAATGCAATTGCATAGTGAAAGTGAAGATAACTAAAACAGATTTAAAAAATGGGAGAAAATATGATATGTACCTCCATAAGTCTAGGACTGAAAAATGATGTTCTCATTTCTGGATCCAAACTTTGCTCAGCAAACCTAATGATTGAACTACAATTTTGACAAAACACGTCAAAAATAAGCTTCACCAAATGGAGAGAAATTTGAAATTGAAAATCACAATTACAGAAGAAAAAAATGATTCAAACAGTGCCTTTAAATTCTTCATCTCTATGCACTTTTTTTGAAATTAATGATGTTGTTCATTGTTCAAGATCAAGTTCAAGAAGTGGTTTGATCCCACCATTTATTGTTCTTCAAGAAACAACACTTATATACCAAAGCTCGAGCATTTAGCAGAAGCAAATTGAGCTGTTAAAGAAACCCATTTGACTCAGAACTCTGAAATCCAACTCAAAGATTATTGTTAAACACTTGACCGGGATGATTCTTATAGCTGCTGGAGGGCCTATTTTGAACTCAAGGAACTTAAAAAGANGGGGGGGGGGGGGGGGGGGGGGGGGGGGGGGGGGAGGAGGAGTTAGCGAGTGTGATTATTGAATGTAAAATTTCTTGCTGGATGTTTACAAGGAATTGCAACAATCACAAAGCGAAGAAGGCATACAAGGGATCAATGAAGCATGCTTATGCAGAGAAAACAGGGCAGTGCCTTGTCCGATCCTGCACTAGTTGCCCAAGACATCGGAAAAACTCGAGGAAGAGGAGAAAGATGGAATGCAAGATCTACCCTTCACGAGATAGATTATAGCCAGAGGATGATCCCGACTTTATCTTCTCCGAGACCTGATCATAAGACAGGCAGATGTTTATTGTGCTGGTTAGTAGTCCTATGTGACATGTACCTAGTAGAAGATTAGAAATGAATGGATTGTGTAGTTCAGGATTGCTGGTTGGCGGGAAGTTGTCAAACAACTTCAGATGTCAACAGAAAGACGTCTGGACTGTAACGAGTGTCACTGATTGTTTGATACAAGAGGTGCAATATATATGTCATGAATTGTGTTTGTTTTGGTTATTAGTCCTATGCGGAATGCAACTAGTAGAAGGTTATGGGAATGAATAGATTGAGTAGTTGTGGACTGATGGTTAGTGGCAAGTTGTCGACAGTATCTGACGTCAAAATCTCTGTTGAACTTTGCAGTGTATGATCGTATGATAAGGGAAATCAGATTCAACTCTAAGATGAAAACTAATTTAGAATCAACAGTTTCAGAACTTTCACGCTGTAGTATTTGCATAACATTTATGTTCACAGTAAACATCAAGAATTGTATGTGTGCAAAAATTTTGCTTCCATTTCCAGACATCCTCACTACATGGCTAACATCTATAGCATCTAAGAGAGAATTATGATGTACAATAATTTCCAAGGAAACCGCTGACAATTATTCAGCACATACTGTAAGGCTTTATTGTAAGAGATACCAATAATAAACCTTTACTCAAATAGAGACCAGAGAGGCCAACACAGTATTATGGCCCTTTACTCAAGTCGCTTCTTCGCATATGTAGACTTTCATTTCAACATGCATGACCATAAAAATAGAACGTGACTCGTGTCTTAAAAATTGATTTGGTCCTCAAGTGTGCTAGAAGTAGTTGAACCGCGTATAAAAAGACTTTCACGATGTCTAGAAAAGGCAGTTGACACAAAACAAATAATAATTTCACCACTATTATGGAATTTTGGGCAAGCCGCCACTTTTAAATTTCAACAGAACTCAACCAACCTTTAAGCATTGTGACTCAAGTTCCTAAATGCTCAATGAACAAAAGTCCAACTGTGAGGCAGTCCAAATTCACCACAAAGTAACTAAATGGTTTAAAAATAAATGAAGTAACGCCAGAATTATTAGATCCAAGAAACAAGTGGAAATTCCAACATACATTAAGCCACAGTTTTTAACCCAAATTAAGCTTCGTCTATATAAGACACATGATCAAATCAAGGTAGGGAAGATTTCATACATATACATTCAGATTCAGCCAAACTAGACACTAACCCCACTCAGTTTAGCTGCAGTCCTAAAACAAGGTTCGAAAATACTTCGAAAAATGATTTCATGCCATCATAAGAATTATAAGAGAAAACAAAGCAGGCCCCAAAAACCCTCATTTCAAATACAGCTCCTTTAACGATAAATTTAAAATTTAAATCAACTTTACAACACAGAAGCTATCTCCCCCTCCCCCTTCCTCTAATGTACGGGCAACAAATATACAAGATCACATTATGTATTACATTTGTTCCTATATATAAGAGAATGAAATTTCTAATTGGCCAATAATAGAACGTAAGATACCTAAGATTCAATCAAGATCCAATCAAATAACATTACATAAGTGAGACTGAAAGCATCCGATGAATTAAAATTTGACATGTGCTTTTGGGAGTTAATTAAATTCAGATTAGAGATTGACAGCCACATATATGAAATTAGCAGGTTAAATTGTCATTCATCATACAAAGCAAAAAGTTTTTTTATTTAAAGAGCAAACCTCTAATAAGATATGTAACAGATTACAGAAACTAGCATGATTAACTAGCTTAATCAAGAGCATAATAAGTCGGCAGAAATTCCTTTCCATCCTGTTGGAAATGGGTAACAGCTAACAATTACTCATTGAAATATGAATCAATATTGACACATTAGGGATGTCAATTCAGGCTTTTCAAGTATTGGACCAAATCAGAATAAATTTAAGGCCTTCCAAACCGTTAGAAATTACAAGGATGAAGCCAGCTTGACATATTCCATTTAAATGGAACCACCCTTTTTCAGAGGGGAAAAAAGAAGCACCAGTAGACAACTTACCCAGAGAGAATAACAACTGGATGCTTGTCTGCATCCACAACATCCGTAAATTGAGCTTGTATGTCCTTCGGCACCTAAACATTTCATGTAATAATGAATAAAAAATATACCAAAAACCAGCCCTTCGTGCAACAAAGTCAGAACAGTGAAAGAGAAACCAGATATAGCTAAAGCACATCTTTCTATTGCCTGATATAACTTGAAGACATGAAATATCTCTAGAGATGGGAGAGGAAGTGACTGAATCAGCTTTTGCAATCAAGGAAACCAGAACGATTAATCTATTCCAGAACAGATAGAGTACATGCAGATTACACTGATTAAAAAAAATATAGAATATTCAAAGAATCGAAAGCTGAAAATCTCTTCTTCATAAGTTATAAACTGCAAGTTTTCTTTCACTACTGGATCAATTGTTAACACTGAACTAGCACTGTTCGCTAAATAGTTCATAAAAGAAAGGCTAAAGTTTATAGAAAGCCATAACATATATACAGATAGCAGGATGTCTGATGCAGAACAAATTATATGTAAACCAAAAATACATTAGTAGAGGTGCACAAAGAAGTCTTATTTGATTGAAGCATCTACTGAGACCGACTCTGAGTACCCTCCAGGAAGAGAAATCATCATGAGAAATGTAGAACGTGGTAGCAAGCAATAAGAAAATGCAGTGAAAAAAGAAACCATATTACCAAGGGTATTTCACCCTGTCCTTCATCTGCCAAAACGTGCCCAGCTATCAGTAACAGTGAGTAAAGTTCTTCCAAAGTTTCCGTTGGATCGGTTGTGCCTCTGCCCTACATTTGATATGAAATTATGAGAGAAGCAAGTGTGATAGAAAGCTGTTATTTGTGCATCTATTATCATTGCAATATTAGGGTATAAAATGTACAAGAACAAGATAAAATGTTGTGCATTTATTATAACCATGTTAAGGAGACAAAATGTAGGAGAATAATTAATTAAAGAAGCGACCTTAATAGACAGGTAGTATAAGATAAGAAGCAAAAGTTGCACATCCAGGGAATACACCCGGCTAAAGTCTTTAACTAAACAAGAGTATTCAGATAGAGAGGAATGCCAAAATTTCTTAAGTACCAATGTCCCTTATGGTCATGTTCACGTTCAAAAGAAAGGTGGTATGGGTAAGAAAAGTTCATCCATGCCCTTGCATTGGAAGTTAGGACTCATCTATATTTTTCACTTTATTATGAGGAAATTTTACTGCAATCTTTGTGAACCGAAGGTTCTAGAGCTTCTTTTGGGGTATTATTTCCTACCTGCAATGTGAGTGAATGTCAATTACTGCCAACAAATGATAATATTTCATATATTTATAATTGGGGACATCCTGGCCTCTACATTATGTACGATCCACTATATAGCTTATTAAAATTTGTCTTCTTCCATAACACCAGAAGAAAAATCGACAAAAAATGTATTAAAGAATACCAAGCAGGGAAGTCCCATGAAAAAAAAAATTTTTTTTTTTTTAATAAGTAATCACGTAATTTTATAGATTAAAATCAAAAGATAATATACAAGGAGTGCATTATCAGTTTAAACAAGATAGAAATGATAAAAAATTCGACAACCCTTCTATCGGACTAATGGTTACAGCCTTAAACCAACTATACGCAGTGACAAAATGGTAGTGAGTGGGTGTATGAGAAGATATCGCTTTGACTACTGAGCTACCTTAAAGATTCAGTGGTAATGTACCTGATGAAGCCTTGTAATACGCTCTGAGAAAAGTGTGGTGAGGAAAGGGATTGTGGCACCACTAGCTACTCGAGCAATAAGAGCATAGGAGCTCAATCTTTCATCCATAGCTATAAAAAGAACAGAAATGGAGCACGATCAGAGATGCAAGGATGAAAATGCTAATAACAGCAATTGCAGTAAAAAATAAAATAAATTCAATTAATTAGCTAGGCATGTACCAGAAACAGAAGCATGGAGGTAATCATATTCATTATCGTCACTGAAGGCTGATGCAGAAGCAGCTATAACAAAGTAATGTGTAAGAACAATATGATCCAAAAATTATTATAAAACAAATGTGGAAATGAGCACATATAAATTACCCTTTAACTCAGACTCTACTATAATTGCAAAGAGATTTGCTGCAGCACTAATCCCTTCTGGTGGAAGCAAATCATTATGTCCGCTACTATCCAACTGCCGCAATACCAATAAAATAAATTTATGTGGATATCTATGATAGCATGATTTCTCATTGAAGACAATGAGCTACAAATACAGCAGAAAACTCCCAGGGATAATATAAAAAATTAAACACATACAATTAACACTAAATAAATAAATAAACAAATATGGTTAACCTATACCTTTCAGAGTGATTTGATAACATCAAACTGTTTTATGGGAAGATAAAACTTCATATTCATAGTACCTAAAGAATAAAGATAATTGCAAAAATCATCTTCTACCATGAACTCCAATTTATTGGTACGTGTGAAGTTGCCACCATGAAAAAACAGTCAACGGACATTAATTAAGCTGACACCAGCTACCAACCTCTACTCCTCAAAACCAACAGACAACGTCAACAACTTTCTCTGTAACGACCCGACCTCCATGTTCAAGCTGTTATATCATACATATTGTCCGCTTTGGGTAGGCATTTACCTACTTTCCCCATCACGGTTTTAGTTGTCCAATTGGTACCGAACCCAACTTAAGTTAGAGGTCTTAGGTTCAAATCCTCTGAGAATCTTTTTTGTAATGACTCGATCTCTATGTCCAAATTGTTATATCATATGTATTGTCCGCTTTGAACGAACATCTACCCACTTACCCCTCACGACTATCTATCGCGTCCCCCAAGATTCGAACCTAAAATATTTGCCTAACGAGAGACTTAAATTGAATCTTGGTACCAAGTAGTACGAAATCATCCCCAAAGATCTCGGTCAGAGCCAGCATACGCCAAATGTGAATACACCCTAAAACCACGGGCAGAACACCTAGTACTCAATTGAAACCTGGATTCAACTTAAATCTCTCATTAGATAGAGGTCTTAGATTTGAATCCTAAAGGACGCGATAGAAAGCCGTAAAGAGATAAGTGGACAGATACCCACCCAAAGCGGATAGTACATATGATATAACAATTTGAACATAGAGACTTAAATCGTTACAAAAAACGACATAGAGGTCGAGTCGTTTCATTCTCTCCAGAACCACTATCTACCGGTCACCACCACTAAACTAGATAGAGGTAAATCATAGCCACGCACATTGTCGTAAAAATCTGCCTTTAGCTTACCATGTTTGTACATCAACAAGACCATAAAAGCTCATCAAAGGCTTCCCAGATCCAGATAGAAATTAGAAAGGAAAAATTGGTTCCAAATCCTGTAATAAGACTTTGAGAAAATCTACTTCGAATTTCCTCCATTCTTTGCCTCTTAAAAAGTGGAATCTAGTCCCTTTTTTGGTTTCTAAAATTTATAAACTAGTTATGAGAAGTTCCATGACTTACTTACATTCCTTCAAAACCCTGTGAGAAAGCATTCCAACCTTCGATATACAAGATTCAACTAGCACCCATTTTTCTTAAAAATTCTGTCTAAACGAAGTCTTGTATGCAAAAACTAAAGGCCCCATTTGGTTTGCATTTCAATTTTGAGTTCATTTTCAATTTACAATTTTGAAGGTCTATTTTGAATTGCTAAAAAGCGTTTGGTTTGTCATTCTGAAAAACTATTTC